CCATTATCGCGCTGCGATTTATGCCGAGAATGCTCCACCTTCTCCCCTCTCTCTTCTTTAACCGCCATTCTGTTCAGAAAATGAAAATACCATCATTTTTCTATAAAAAAAATTAGAAATTATTGAAATTTAATAATTTACGAAAAAACCAAAAAAATTAGATCTGAAGAAAGGGACCTTAGAAGCAAAAAATTATAGGTTACGTTTTGAAATTTTAAAGTGAAAACACACAAAGACGTTCAACTCGATCATAATGTAAATTAATGATATTTACGTCTTCATTATATACAAAATATTCAATAAAAACTGATTTTTAGTTTAATTAAACAAAACTAAACTTTTAGTTCAAGTAAAACTGTCGTAAATATAACCTATAATTCATTTGCATCTAAGGTCCCTTTCTTCAGTATTTTTTTTCTTCTTCAGAGCGCGTCACTTTTATTTTATAAATAAATTACTTTTTAATTTTAATATAAAAGTTAAAAAACACTTGTTATTATACTTTTTTTGTAAATTTTTTTAAATTTCATCACGATTAAATTTTTAACATTAAGAAATTAGAAAAAAAAACTCAATCTAAGGGGGAAAAATGCCTTGACGTTAAAGGATTGAATGTGTCAAACAGGTGAGAATTCTAGCAAACATATATAAGTTGAGGGCTGACAAATACCACGCCCTTAACAACGCCCTCCAAAAGCCACCCCCGCATGCGTATAAACGTTCATCTTCAAGATATCTAAAATATCTATATATATTTCTTCTTGAATTTTACATTTCAGATAATAAAAAATTATTATATGTATTTTTCCTTATAAAAAAATTATTTTAAGATATTTTATTTTATCATAAAACTTATATATTGAATGTAAATAAACTATATATATATAAACGAATATATAGAAAATCTATCTTAGAATTTCTACTCTTTTAACTTTCTTGGAAGTCGAGTATAATTGTAATAATCTCAAAACTAAGCTCAACTGACTGAAAATTTATCTCTCAAAAGAGGATTATCCCTTGGGTTGTTTAACGTCACTTTTGTTAACCCAAAAGTAGACTGATAATTTTCGAGAATATAACTTGTTTGAGCCAAACAAAAGAAATGGTTTTTTCTTTTTAGCAAAAAAAGTTTCCAACAAAATTAAATTTTCTAATTTAAAATTTTTCAAAAAAAAAAATTTCATTGACTAAAAAAATTTTAACATTAACATCTTATTTTTTTAGTAAAAAAAAACAAAGTTTATAAATAAATGCACATAGGGAGAGGGCATAAAAGAAGAATAATAGGGAATTTGTCATTTTCTTGAAGTAAATTGCCATTTTTGTATATGTGTTATACTTTTGTACCCACAATGGCCCCCTCTCATTATGTGCGCGATGGATTTCAAACAATTTTTCTTCTCTCAAAAATATGTTCTCACAAGTTGTGAAAAAAAATATATATGCGGGCTTTGTGTGTATTATATATATATTGTTCAAGGTGCTTTGTTTTTCAAGTGTGTATGTCTTAAAACTGAACATCTCTTGACGCCTATTATTATAAACCCTCCATGACTAAACTCCCTTTTTCTTTGGCTTGGAAAAAAAAACACACACACTTAAGATTCACTTCGTTTCGCGCACCCCTATATAACTTTATATCCCATTCGATTTCTTTGCCAAAAAAAAGAATTTCTAACAGATAAAACTTGTTTAAAAAATTATTTCTCTTATTTGAAAAATGTTTATAATTTTTGAAAATTTAAATATAGATACAGAGGATTAATCATTTTTCTTGTTTCTCTATTCGTTTTATGAAAAAAAAAGTTTCTTATGAAAATATATAATATTATTTGTCAAAAGAGTTTCATGGAGTGAAACATTTTTCTTGACAGGGATAAATTACTTATGACTATATTATAATCCGTCTCAAGTTGGGGTGCGGGGATTTCTTCTTTGCACTTTTCCGGAAGTGACAAATTATTATATTCCATTAGCGTTCACGCGATGAAATTCGAGATAATTTATGAAACTGCGACTGATATTTTAATTAATTTCTCTTCCCTGTCTCCTAAGAAAAAAAATTTTATTCTCTAACTGTTTAGAATCACATTAGTTGCTTAATTTTGTTAAAATTTGATAATATATTTGCTACTTAATGTATAATTAATTGTAATTTAATAAAAATTAATTTCGAACGTAAATAAACAATCGTTTTTGTCGTTTGCAATATAAAAACTATAAACGTGTTACCAAACTAGTTTCAAACGATTTCAATCACGTAATTCCTTCGGCTATCGCAAGATGTCACCAATATAATTTCTCGAAAAGTGACGAATGTAAGCCATACTTTTTAACCTCGAAACATATTGCAGTTTTAGATCAAGAGAAGAAATTTGTTTGAAAAAAAACTTTTACAGCGAGGCGAAAAAATATTCTACTTCCCCCCTCTCTCCATTTTGAACAATTAACACGTTTGCAATTTGAAGTGTGGATATTCATATATATATAATTCTCACGATAAGTGCAATGAGTGTAACATAGTGAGGATCAAATCGGTAAGACAGGATAATACTCAACCGACGTTCGGTCGGATTACCGATTTGGATGTAAATAATTCGTATGCAGAAATGTCGATTGTACTATAATGTAAACAAGAACACGCGACGCCACTCGATATATTGCGCACGCGAGAAAAGGGCGGCCCTCTCTTGTCTTATTGTGCAAATAATTGAAATACAAATCCCAGTTCATCTTCAGGGTGATAGTCACGATAATCGAATCAGACAATGGAACATTTATATATATATAGAGAAGTGGCCAGTGCAGTTTGATGCCTCCACGTATATGTACATTACAAAGGGGAACGTGGGTGCAACCCCGGAATGATGTACCGCAAAATGTAAAAAGCAAACTCTTCACTTGCCCCGAAGGGTTACACGTGACTTTCCATTTTGCCGCTTTTCATCAATCAAGTTTTTTGTTTTTTTTTTAAACATTCGAATTTTAAATTCAATTCAGAATTGGCAAAATTAAAAATTTCAATTCAAATAATTAAATATTCTTAAATAAACATTTACTTGAACCAAATAATTTTTATTTGAATCAAATACATTTTTTTCAGTAGCAAATTATTAATTTTAAATATTACTAAAGTATTCAGTAGTAAAAATCAGTTTTAGTCAGACAACACATTTTTAAGTTATATATTATCCAAAAAAAGTTCCAGTCAGTGAATTTGTCGAATTTTTGTAAATGAAATCAAAATCAGTTTCAAAATGGTATAGAAAAATTAAAAAAAAAATTCCACAGTAGTAAAAGTGTTTTTTAGTCAGACGTGACAAATTTTAGTTATCAATGTAATAGAAAGAATCGAAAACTTCAATTTTTAATACTTCTGTTTTAAACTATATATTCCTTTCAACAATGCATGACTGGTGGTATATTATTAGGCGCCACATTTACAAAATTACAAACGTGAATCATAAAAGTAAAAATTCCAAAATAAATAAATAATTGACAAAAATTTTATAATTTTGTAATTCATTTTAATTTTATTTATAAATCTTTTTAAAAAATAGTTTATGAAACCATTTTCAAGATCTTTATAATATTCCTTTCGACTACGCAAGACTGGTAGTCTATCATTAGGAATCTGATTTGAAATCTAATTCCATGAAGAGGAAAATTTCATTCTTGTATTATTTATATAGAATGAAGGTTATGTTTATGATAATTTAGAGTGAAATATTATACAAAGAAAATACAAAATACAATTTAGTCCTCATTAGTTCAAAAATATTCAAATTTCTGATTATTTACACAACTGAAATAAAGAATAACTCTTTGTTAAACGATCATAAACATAACCTATAATTTTTGTTGCTCCCTATCTTCAGTGTGCGTTACATTTAATTAAAAATGGTCTTCATTACATTAAGAATATTCAAACTTATTATGAGTTTACAAAACTAAGATAAAAAATAACTTATTGTATAAGAATCATAAACATAACCTAAAAATTTTGTTTTGCTTCTTGGGACTCTTTCTTCAGTGTGCGTCGCACATATATAATTAAAAATGGTGGCAAAAGTGGAAGTGCAAAGGTTTGTTCACACCCAGAACCAAGGACGTTCACTGCCCTGTTATTGAACTGACTAAAAACTTCTCGCATACCAAACGGTTCGTTGCTTTCGAAGTTTTGTGTCTGGCGCCATTAGAGAGGGCGAACCAAAAGAACCGATCTTGACTCTGAACGAGATCTGCGTCATCGACCTGCTTGTCAACATTTCTTCTTGTTAGTAACTTTTTTTTTTTTCTATACTCAGCACTTTTTTTTGCAACTAAACAAAAAACCAGTAGGACGAACAATAATTACACTTAAGAAGAAAAAAAACTACAAGAGTGCCAAATAAAAAAAAATCTTAATATTTAAAAATTTAAATATTTACCGCTATATGAATATTTATGTCAGCAATGAAATAAAAAAAAGAGAAGAGAGAAAAAAATTAAAAATCGTTTTTTTTTAATTGAAGGTAAAAAATGTCTCTTCTTTTCCACCCTTATGGTCATGATTACTATATGCGCCTGTATATAGGCAAGCAGGAATATTTCTAAGTAAATCGTGAAAACAAATATCAGGAAAAGAAAAATTTGAAAAAAATATTCATTATGTTTAAAAATTTATATTTTGGAAATATATTAATAATTTCTTTAGTAAAATTAAGACCAAATTATCATATATATAATAAATTCTATTAACATTGATATGGAAACTACAAATTTTAATTTACATAAATTTATTAAACATTAATTTAAATGTACCATTAATTTTATGTACAAATACCATTAAATTTTAATACTAATACGATTAAATTAATGAATAAAAAAAATTAATTTCTATTAACAAAATTAGATTATTATAATTTATAATGATTTGAGTAAAATTTTGTGTCTTGCGGGAAAATAGTATGTAGGAGTTAATTTCAGGTAACAAAATATTGTATATATATAAGAGAAAGTATTATCTGCGAGAATGAATTTATTACAAAATTGCTATCTTAGAATGGCATTGGCACAGCACTATACATTGTGGTCCTAGAAGTAAGAGTTACTAATATTATATGTTCAATTCATGTCATTCAATTTATGGCATACATGTATATATATGAGCTCGTTCACTAAAGTCAACATCATCGCACTAACATGCAAAATATTATAAAAATTGTCATTCTCTCTCTTTTTCTCACAACAAAATATATAAATATATTCTAAATTCAAAATTTATCCATATATTCATTCATCATTTGTTCCTCCAAAATTCACTAAGAGAATTTTTCTCTTTTAAATATAAACTAAAAAATTGTTTTCCATAATTACATTTATTCATAAACTTTTTTTCGATTTCATTTGTTTGAGCTACAATTTTAAAATTTGATTTTTTTAACGAATTCATTCAGATTTAAAAATATATGAAAATTTCATATATGTTATAACATATGCAATTATTAATAAAACTAAACAACAATGCGTCGTACTTTGAATCATACCACAAAAGATGAGGTTTCTCATTAATTGAGATACATTTATGATGCCCAAGCATCTTTATAATGTATAAACTTAAAATTATAATTATTTTTTTATTTGAAATTTTTTTTCTTTTTTTTAAACAAAATCTACAAAAAAAGTAGATAAAATTTAATGAATGAAAAATATTTTAATCGAAAAACGCAGAAGATACTTAAATATATTAAATAAATAATACGTTTGTAAATGTTTATATTTTCTTTTGATAATAAAATAAAAATAAACAACCTAATTTAATCACGAGGTAAAAAAGTTATGATTTCTTTTTTTGCTAAATAAAATATTAAAGCTAATTTAGCACGTTGTTATTAAGGAACAAAAATAAAATCAACTAAAATTTGCATTGTCAGAGTTCGATGATGGTAATAATCTTATAATGACGTATGTATATCTATATATGACATTATGCTACAGGATTTACTGATACATTAGCTAATGACTTGTATATGTGTATATGTATAATACAATGAGATATAAAAAGTAGTTTAGGAGATTTCTTTTTTTTTCTTTTTTTTTTATTTCTCCAAGTGTATTATTTTTTCCACGTCTATTGAATTATTTATTAGCGATGGTCTGCGATCAATTCACCGCACAACGGAATATCATAACACTTCGAGTACCCTTGAATTTTTTTTTTCCTTCTTCCTATCCATATTGACAGGTGTAACGAAACGAACGTCAGAATTTGATTATAATTTTATTAAGATTGGAATTTTTACTTGCTATTTAGAGCTATACAAGAAACACTGTAATGTGAATCACAGAACAAATTCAGAGTTCAATATTTTGTTTTTTGGAATTTAATGTAAATTTTAGCACCATATATAGTTTAAATTATTTCAGAGAATTAGAAAATAAATATATGTTAAATAAATAATTTTTCTTTATTAAATTTTTAAATATTTAATGTTAAAATATTAATAAATTGTTTTATTTCTTTTTTTTATTAATTCTTTGGTATTTTATTGATTATTTAGAAACATTAAAAATTTGAAATATAATTTTAAAAAATGTTGTTCTTTTTTAATATATGAATTGAACTCCTATTTTGTTCTGTAATGTTAATTAAAATTGTAAAATTAACTTATTTTCTAATTTCAAGTGTGGAAAACAATCCCACTAATACTTACTAGTGACTATTAGTAAATAAAAGACTTTTGGGATAGTCGCAAATACTTTGAAAATTATAATATCCGATAAAATTTCGAATAATTCTTGCGCAGATATTTGAAAGTCTACTAATAACGATGTTGATTCTAAGAAATTTATTCTAATCACTTATTTTTTTTTTGTTTTTTTTGTTTGTTTTTTAATAAGTCGAGCTTAAAATTAGGAGCAATGAGGCAGTTGAGTTGGCAAGAATATTATCTATGTATACATATTGTATATAGGAGCAATACGGAAATCAGTCGTTCGGTCATTAAATTTAACGCTAAAAAAATGATCCGAGTGCATCGAACAAAAATTATCTTCTTCTTTTTAATACATAATTCTCCAAAAAGTACCAAATTTTTGAAAATTATTTTTTTTAGAATCTATAATTGTTAAATTTTTGCTTTCAACATATTTTTTATGCTCAATTTTGCGCAAGTTTTGATGTCCTTCAAGATTTTTTGTATATATAAAGTTAGAAGAAAAAAATAATTATTATTTCAATTTGTAGTTTTGAATTTTAAATTTCCCGCCACAGAAGTGATGCTCCTTGTTTTTAGTTTCGATCAATAGATGACGATGGCGCAGGTTAGAAATTACAGAGTGGCGCCATCGCTATTTATTAATTGGAACCAAAAAAGATGACGTGAAACTTTCTACTAAATTGAGCAAAGATCTATTTTTTTGCAGATGCAAGTATTTGTCAATATTCTATGCGATGTAAGTAACACTAGTCGACAGGCTATAATATTTAATCTCAAACAACTCACTAAAACAATATTGCTTATAGGTCCATAGTTTTTAACTCTAACCTCTCGTTTATAGATATAGCGACGGATTTGAGAAGTCAAAGAAAAAGTTTTGATTTATAACATCCTTGATAATCACTGTTTTGAATTATTATTTTAAAGAGCAAGGAATTTCATTAGTGCATCATAGATGAGACGTGGATTAATTGTTCCATCTGCTGTGTAACGAACGCCTCTAAGTGAACCATCGTCATGGCTAACGACGCCATATTCACCAACAATAAAACCGTCAGGAGTTCTTTCTTCAACACGATACTTTCTATAATTACGACCTTCCACAACATAGCCGACCTTGCGACCATCCTCAGAATCAGCTTTATTTGTTGCCACAGTAACTGGCTGAGGACCATGAACATTGCCATTGCTACCAACACTGACAGCTTCGTCGACCTCATAATTTTGTTCAACTGGCTCCATGGATTGTGAATTCACTGGTGGTTGACCATTTGAATCGTAAATTTTACTAGGTTCACTGTAGACTTTTGCCGGTTCAGAGTAAATCTTTGCAGGCTCGGAATATATTCTCGCTGGCTCTGAATAAATTTTTTCTGGTTCACTATAAATTCTCGCTGGTTCACTATAGACTTTTGCTGGTTCTCCATAAACTTTTGATGGTTCACTGTAAATTTTCGCCGGTTCTCCATAGACTTTTGCTGGTTCACTGTAAACTTTTTCTGGTTCACTATAAGTTTTATGATGAATTGTATCAATTGGTTCATTGTGATGACGTCGTGATGATGGAGAATTATTATCGTAAAATGAACCATCATAATGCCTACTGACTTTACGACCCTGATAGTGAGCACGTGATCCACCAATAAGTTCAGCGACTTGTTTAGAAGTAATTTGATAATCGTGAACCTCAACTGGTATCGAACTACTGCCACTTGTTGCCGAATCATTAACATCACTGTTCTCCTCTAACGCTGTGGATTTTTCATTACCAGTGTAGGGTTTCGATGTGATAACACTTGGTTCCTGCCATACTGTTTGGGCGGAACCTTCATCAACTGAAAATTCACTTCTATTCGATTCGGAGACAATATTACCAAGATCTTCGGTGACAAAACGTGATGTGACATTTGGTATTTCTACAGTGCTTGTTGAACTAGTAAAAATTGAGCTACTTGATGTTGTTGATGATGGTATTGGTGAATTTAATTTTACTGAATTTCTAATTGGATGATGTTCTATACGAATTTTGTAAGGTGTTGCCTCTACACTCGATGTAACACTGACACCAATTACTTTTCTGTCTAGAATTTTATTATCCAATTTGCCGACTTTTTGTGATTTGGATATTACTGTTGAATTACGTTTACCCTCGCGTGCTTTCAATTTCGATGTTATTTCATCAACTGTTGCCAGATCGTCTATCAGAGAGACTAGACTGTGACTGTGATTCAGTGCTTTCTGACTAATTGGATAGTATCTTACATCGGAGTCTCGATATGGTGTCATCGTTGACGCCTTCGGTTGAATGACAGTTGTTGTTCTTGCTGCAGGTGGTGCACGTGAAATACGATAGATGAATGCTTCATTGTGCTTTGACTCGGAACTTATGCTATCGCTGTGATGATTATTATGATGATGATTATGATTATGTCCAGTGCGTCGAAAACTACCGCGTCTTCTTTGAGCTGGTCGCGGTGCCATTGCTCCATTTATGAAGACCGACAGAAATTCTGTGCCGGCAATAACATCGTTGCTTCGTTTAACTGGCGATGGCGCCATTGCTGTCGGTTCCCAGAACAAAACCGCTTGCATGAGTACCTACAAACAAAAGGTTTGTTTTAGTATTTAATAAATTAGAGTACTATTCTTTAATTTTTTCAATCAAATTTTTAATTAGATTTCTTAATTATCAACAGGTGAGATAGTTTTGTTATAGATCACTTGAAGACAAATCGTAAAAATTGTAGTGCTGTCTAAATCGTAAAATTAAGAAAGTCAAATCGTATGACAAAGGTCAGAAAATATGAAGACAAATCATAAAGTAAGTTAATGAAGAAAAAAATCGTAATATAGTAATTGCGTTTTGTATTTATCTTTAACGCGCTCTGAAGAAAGGGATGAATAGCAAAAGTTAGGTTATGTTTGAATGTATTTTTATTATAAACATAACCTATAATTTTCTTCCTATAGTTCCCTTTCTTCAAATATACTTCGAATTATAATGTCATATTTTTCAAATCTACTGCGGCGTTGGAATCTTTTTTTTATAATATAAAGAAATTTTTTTTTATATTTGAAACTTTAAAGAATTATATATTAGTTAAGGCAACTGGTTTTTTTTGTTAAATTCACTGAATATGAACCTTGTCGTTTTAATTAAACAAAATTACCGGGGTAGAATAATTGACTTGTTTTTTTTTTGTATTTATAAATACGGGTACATTTTTCTGTGTCTTTTATAACAAGTTGAAGACTAGTTTTTCGAAAAAAAAATTCCTAATTAACGCATTCAATGTAAATGTAATTCTCATAAATTGTCATAAATTTATTATAATTTCTGATAAATTACATTCATCTATTCATTTGCGATTTGGTAAATTTGCCTCTCTACATATATATACAAAGAGCGCCAAGGTTATTGTGGGTGAATCTCGATATATACCTATATACATATATAATAAAACGAGTTGTATCTGAAATGTACCGAATGAAATTATGTTTTTATTTATTATACACTTTGAAACAATTATTGGCCAATGGAAAATAATCAAATACATTTCTTGTTCTTTTCTATGAAATTCTCTTCCGCATCTCTTAAAAGCCTAAATTGTTCATGGTACTTAAATATAAAGAATGTTACAGAGGTAATTGGCTCTTATTCGAAATGAATTTAAATTCCGTTTCGATTATGTACTTCAAATTGTGTGAGATTTCAACACATATAGGAGTTTTACAAATACATATGAAACATATACATATTTGTGTGTTTTTATAAAGTGTGAATAACCGCAAAAAAAGTTTATTCGCCACTTGATAAAATTGAGTTCAAATGTGTTCTCCACGAGAGAAGCAAAGGCAGGAAAATTTTTTTTGACGACAGAATTGAAATAAAGAAAATTAATGTTTTATAATTTTTTTTTTGTCTTGTTAAGAGTGTTGGGGGATTGATATTCGCGGACTGAGCTGATATACGTTTGCTTTGTCGCAAGGACGTACACACGGTGACTTTCACTTATAATAATATCTATGTCCCTTTCCACGGTCAATTGAAAATATACTGAAATATATTTATAGGAGATCAATCACGGGAAATTGAAATTCTTTTGCATTTGGAGTGAAAGATTAATTGAATCAAATGAATTGAAATTGACATTGAACATTTTTCTATTCCTCAATATTTACTAAACTTATATAATATACCCAAAATTTTAAACTAGAACTTTTATAATTTTTCTTTATTTCCAATTGAATAGAAGAAATGAAAAAAAAATTGATGAAACCGGAAGTTATAATTTTTTTTCTAAATGGAACAAAATTTAGATGATTTGAATTGATCAGAAAAAGAAAAAATATAAATATGTGTACATATTTGATATTTTTTAATACAATTGCTTTATGATACAATGCAAAAGTGTGGCCCTGAATGTGGTACATGCAACCGCACTTTAGTAACGCTACGACCCACTCTTTCACTCTCTCGACATAACACGTATCATATTCGCACCGTTTGGCTAATTGTCTAATAAATCGAAAACTCTTAATTGGATCTAATTATATGTGGTTTTTCCTATCATATATAATTAACTGTTTAATTATAATAACCGATAAATTATGTTTTTTTTACGAAATAACGAATTTCAATTTCAAACTTTTTTGTAACTCAAAAAAATAAATTTAATTCAAGTTTTGGGATAGAACAAAAATTATCTAAATAATATAATAATAAAAAAAATATTTACCAATTATAAAAACACTGCAAATTGAACGTAAAAAAACGTATCAAATTGATCCAAATTTTTATATCAATTTGATAGTTTTAAATTAACTGCTTATTTAAATACTTGAGAAATTAATTTTGCATAAAAAACTATAAAATCGTTATTAATAAAACCTTCATTTAATCTTACTAATTTACATTATTTTATGCAAGACTATATGCATGTGTGTGTATTATAATACCAAAAATAAGTTTTGTATTCAGTGAAATTCTAAAGATAGTCGTAAAATTTTAAGTATGTACTCATAATATGAAGCCGTCATATATCTTTGTTTATCATTATCTGAAATCATGGTCATAAATTAATATGTCTCTCTCCGCCACGTAAGATGTTCCGCCTTTCTGGACACACTCTTCATATGATGATCGATGGCATTATAATTTGCAGAAAAAAAGTCTCTTTTACAAATAATACGTCGGCAAATGCATTAAGCATTGCAGTTATAATATATATGAATATGTGATATGCGGGCAATGTACTTATAATAAAAGGTCATCAAATTTATATTTATATATATATAAATCGATATTTCGACACAAATTTATTTTTATTTAAATACATTAACGATAAAAATCATGTTTTCGAATTTAAAATCATGACTTATTAAATTCAAATATCGCTCATTATACAGAAAACTATAACTATTAAATAGGTGCATTTATTATTTTGGAGAGGAAAAAAAAGCTCATATTAGTCAAGAGTGTAGTTTACGATATATATACTCTCTCACGGTTTTAGTTATAGATCCTTTTCTGTTTTATCGAAATATATAAATATAAATAATGGAAAATTCATAAATGCGAGAAATTGTTATCTATTGCACTTTTTGTAAACATAATTATTTAATATATATATATATATATATATATATATATATATATATATATATATATAAGTGCTGACAAGCATGCGCTAAAGATTTGAGTCATTATGTCAAAAAATGTATAAATTAAAAGAAAAGAAAGACTAGCGGATTTTATGATTTTATTCATTAACATTGAAACAGGTGATAGCGCGATAATAATTAGCTCAAGCGCCTTTAAGCGTGAATTGATCGTTAAAACGAAGTGGACATAAACTATGTTAATAAAGTATTTATAACCAAATTTTTTATCATGAAAAAATTTTCCTAGGAAATAAAAAAAAATAATTTCAAAAATCATATTAGAATAATTTATGTATAAAATTGTAAACTGACTTTTAATGACTTACAAATGCCCTTAATATATATTCTAATTAGTCCCAATGATTAATCACACATATATTAATGTTTTTTCTTAAATATATATATAGCAAATGAATGCGGATGAAGTCTGGCGCCACTAACGAAACCTTTTCCTGATTTTCTTTTCGACCTTATAATATATTTCCCGATTAAAAATTGAGACATAAAACGATCAGTTTAACGGCAAGAAATATATATATATATATATATATATATATATATATATAAGCGAAAGGTCTGTAATTTATAAGGTTTAAAAACTCGCTCATTCTGCGCGTATATAACACGCAATCTCTCTCACAAACCGATAATATTAATAATTCTGAGACGGGTGTAATTTGCTCTATAGGTCTTCATTATATCTTTCATGATGTTCTCAAATGAAAATTTTTACAAAAAAAAAAAAAAAGATACTGGTTTTAATTCATTAATTAGTTATAAATTCGTTTAGTATAAGGATATATTAATAGTTTTTCTTTTTTTTAAGTGTCCTTGACGTGTTTTCAAAAGTGACTTAATTCTCGTCCTGGAGGGATATTTTATTATATATATTTCCTTCTTTCTATATAACCACCAGAAGCAACAATTTACTAACCATAACGATCACTCATGGATTAATGTTGAAATTTTCATTTTTCATCAAGAGATCTCGTTTCCTTGACGCAAGAAGAGTAAGATGAAAAAAAAAGAAAATAAGTAAATTTTGCTGCAGGTGTTGAATAAATTCGTTGAATGTATTTATTGGATGCTTGGAGGCATATATGTAAAATAGTTAATGCGAAGTTGATCTTGGGTGTTTTTCCCTTTATTTAAAAAAGACAAGAAAAAAAAAGTTTTACGATCCTCGTTTCAAAAACACTTTACTTCCTCGAAAGATTAATCATTGTGTACTTGTGGTTCTTTATTTTTGTCTCGAGAGAGCCACATGTCATAATTAGACAATATATATGTTGATCGCTGAGAGTTCAAAAAAGCGAAAAAAAATTAGATTTTTCTCTTTTTTTTTTTTTTGTTTCATATAATAAAATCCTTGCAAATATTGTCAATGAAAAATTTCCATAAAGAGAATAAAAGGGACAACACCTATATCAATTTCCATGGGGGTATTACTCAACTCTTTATAAATCGTCAGCGACTGTAATCATTTCTTTGACACACGAAGAAGCGATTTCAATTGCCAGTCAAGAAAAGATTTCTTCTTGAAGCGATGATACTGCGATGATGCTCTTACCCTCGCGCGCATCACAATCAAATTGTGAAAGAACTGACAAATTTCCAAACAATCGAGAAAAGAAAAATTGTGTCCTCTTTAGGAAGGTTTAGAGATGACTATGCATTCCAAGATTGCATTCGACGACAAAGACTGTTTGTTTGTGTATGTGTATGTGTGTGGAACTGTGAGCGGTCATTAGTTATTACGACGCCAACACCAAAGTTAGACGAATAAACTTACGATAGGTGAGATAGGTCTCATCCGGGGGACGAGAGGAGGTTTAAGAGTACGGCTTTGCAGCATGGCATTTACTCCTTAGTTATGTGAAAGGTATTGCACAGAACCAAGGTACATACTCCTACGTTTTATACGCACACTTGCT